CTCTGTTCAGCGCAAACACATTACATTTTAAGTAACATATAGTCAATTGTAACATTTTCGATTTTATTTTCTGTTCTCGATACAAATAATGACATTTCAATTCGAATAAAGACAATGTTTTTGGTGTTGCGTTAAGTGAGATTTTTGAATGAATCGTTTTGAGCAATGAGAGCAACGGAATGGTTTGTATCCGGTATGATGAATACGCATATGGTAGACCATACTCCATTTGATTAATGTAGTATATTTGCACACGTAACATTCAAATCGTCGTTGATTACAATTTTTCTCGTGTGCCTCCTTCGCCCATTTCACCGCGAATCCTTCTCGACAAATCGAACAATGGAACGGGAATTGATTTGCATGAGTTCTCATGTGGATTTTCAAATTGCTCCGTTGAGTAAATCCTTTTGCACAAATTTTGCATTGAAATGGTTTCTCGCCAGTGTGTTTGCGTGTGTGTATTATCAGTTCTGAAGGCCATGCAACATAATTACAAAACTCACATTTAGTTTTGGAATTCCCATTTGATGTCGATCCATTCTGTTGTTCAGTGCCAATTGAATTGCTTTTATTCCGTTGATTGGGTTGAAAATTCACGTTGTTTGACTGCCGTGAACTCCCTGCTTCGTCCGATATCACATCAATCGATGGCACATACAGAATGTATGAGAATGAGAAAATGCATAGTAAAAAAGTTGACATTTTAACTAGTAGAAAATCTTGGGTAGAAAATATTACCTGAAGTCGACGAGCGTGACCCAATCTTCCGTTTCTTCTTTGAGTTACCATTTGAGGTTTCTGTCATTTTTCTCTTTCGCCGTTTATTCGTCGTCATTTGCTTTACCTCCTTCTGATTGGTTTGATTGCTCTCTTTTTCTGCAGTTGTTTCGACGTGTATTGCCTCCACTTCTGAGCTATTCGCTACAATAATCTCGTCACATTCACTGATGGCTGGATCTGGTTGAACATTTGTCATCACTTCCTTCATTACTCCATTGACCACTATGACATTTTGTACGACATCTTCACTCATGCCAATCCCATTGGGAAGATTGGCTTGAAGTGAGTCAAAATTTGCAGATATTAAATCGTTGCCGAGTATTACTCCAAGCGATTCTGTGCCATTGTTCAGATCAATGTTATTGCTTGAAAACGATGCAAATCCTTGAAGTGTATCATTGTCTCGGATGTGTGCTCGAGATAAATCATGGAATGCGGTTGTATTTGGCATTGATTGGTGTTCATTCACATCGCTTCCTTGGTCGACTCTATTTTCTTGTGGCACTACTGTCGGAGCAATCAGATCAATAGTTGGCTGCATAGAAGTAGAAGTATTCGGTGCTTGGCTACCCAGTGTCATTCCTTCATTCGATGTTTCAATTGAGTCGTCAAGGGCAATTCCATTCTCATTCCGATTAATTCCACTCGAAATAATCGCTTGAGACTCGTTGAGTTGAGCAGTCAAAATTGATTCGTTGCCAATCATTGCTTCGATCGATTCAGTGACATTGTTCGGATCAATATTGTTGTCTAAAAATGATGTGAACGGTTGAAACGTGTCATTTCTCGGCACACCATAAAATGGTGTAAACGATGGAAATGTATGTTGACAATTGGTGACTACATTTATCTCCTGGTTTATTGTCGATGTGATTGGATCAGTGGCTCTCTGAGAGCAGTCATTCCATACGTTAATTGCTGTTCCATCGCTTGCATCGGTGGTCGTCTTTTTGTCAGTCCATTCGTGATCTCGAACACGAACTGTAATGAATTGCTCCTCGAATTTAGCATTCCTGAGACACCGTTCATATGCTTGGGCGACACTGTGGAAAAGAATAAAACATTCACGCAGTTGGACCAATTCAAAATACGGTGAAAATTTGACATTGAAACTGAAAACAAAATAGAATTCAGAACAACATCTTCTCACCGATCATTCGTTTCTCGCAAAAAGTATTCTTTGAAATTGTGGTCAAAGGAGAGTCCAGTGCATCGAAAATCGTCTTTCACAACTTGCAGCGTTGCTTCCGTTTCATTTTGAGTGTTCGACCAATAGTTGGCCAGAGTGCGTTGCCAATTTCCAATCATGATTACTGAAAATACACAAATATACACAAAAATCCATTAGATTTCCCATGAAATTGTGACATATTAGGATAAAAATTTTGTAACGCAAAAAGGCTAAGGTTTACTTCTTTTTCATGGCCAACATTTTATTGTCAATTGACTGCTTACCCGAATGTCTATAGCGTTCTCTCTTGCACACGATTGATTCTATTGAGTTTTGCACTTTATTTTTTTGATTGGACAATATTTAATGATGATTAATGGTTTGAATGTAATATATCCTCTTGGATTGGATCAAATGAATGATGTTCCGGTCGTTTTTCCGATAAAAAAATAGATAAAATAACAAAACATAGACAGATAGCCGGTTTGTTGATACACAAAAACACACAGAAATGACGTATCATTCCATAAACGTCAAACTATGCTTTGCTGTGGTCTTCATCGATACGACTCTCCACATTGCCAACTGAGTACGGTTGAGTACGTGCGAGCGGTATTTTTGAATGTATGTCGTTAATTAGAAATTTTTCATGAGATAATCCTGCTTAAGAAATAGATACAACTTGAGTTTTCTACATTTTCTATCAAAGACCGACAAACAAAACGACCTGCCAAATTCACTTCAAGTAATAAGCGATTTCTAGTAGAGTATTTGTTCAACATCGCTTTAGTATGCATATTAAATTAAATGTTTTTAATTAAGCGATTTCTGTCTCTATTTCTGCCTCGACGACTGATGGAATCACACACCTATATTTACATTAATTATTCATAATAATTTTCTTTGAATTGTTTAATGTTTATTTCTATCCCATTTCAATTAGAATACAATCAATTGTAACATTTCCGCTCTTATTTTCTGTGCTCCATACAAATAATGACCTTTCGATTGGAATAAAGAAAAAAATTGTACATGTAGCATGTGATGTAATCAGAAGAATTACATTTAAATTGTCTCTAGACATTTAACAATAGTGAAAAACTGTTCGATTTGTAACATAAATCATTCTAATGACGTTTTTGATGACATTTCAACTGAGATTTTGTGACGAATCGATTTGAGCAATGAGAGTAACGGAATGGTCTGTCTCCGGTATGATGAAGACACATATGTGTAATCAAGTTTGATTTCCATAATGTATCATATTTATTATTTGCACAAGTAACATTTAAATCGTCGTTGATTACAATTTTTCTCGTGCGTCTCCTTCGCCCATTTCACTGCGAATCCTTGTCGACAAATCGAGCAATGGAACGGAAATTGATTTGCGTGAGTTCTCATGTGCGCATACAGACCACCCTTTAGAGCAAATCCTTTTGCACAAATTTTACATTTAAAGGGCAATTCACCGGTATGAATGTGCACATGTCTGACTAAGTCTCCTTTGTATAATGTAGTATATTTGCAAAAATAACATTCAAATCGCCGTTGATTACAATTTTTCTCGTGCGTCTCCTTTTCCCATTTCACCGCGAATCCTTGTCGACAAATCGAGCAATGGAACGGAAATTGACTTGCGTGAGTTCGCATGTGCCATTTCAGAGCATCTTTACGAGAAAATCCTTTTACACAAATTTTGTATTCAAATGGTTTCTCGCCAGTGTGTATGCGTCTATGTATTATCAGTTGTGAGGGCCATGAAACATAATTACAAAATTCACATTTTATTTTGGATTTCTCTTTTGATGTCGATCCTTTCTGTTGAGTGTGAACTGATTTGATTTCATTCCGTTGATTTGGCGGAACATGTACTCCCTTTGATTGTTTCGAACTCTTTGTTTCCTTTGATGTCAGATCAATCATCACTGGCAATTCTGTGTGAGATAACCAAATTCATGACTAAACTGTAATTTTCAGACTCTATAATTGTCTTACCTAAAAGTGGTTCAATGTTCCGTTTCTTCTTCGAGTTGTCATTCGATGTCGTTTTGCCAGCAATTTTTCTCTTTCGTTGGTTCGTCTTCACTTGCTTTACGTCCTTTCGATTGGCTTGATTGCTCACCTTTTCTGGAGGTACTTCGGTATTTTCAACTATTAATTCAACAACTGGTAGATTATTTGGTCAATCGACGTGTATCACCTCCGGTTCTGAGGCATTCGTTACAATAATATCATCACATTCACTGATGGCTGGATTTAGTTGAACGTTTGTCTTTGTTATTTCATTGACAGCTTTGCTATTTCGCATCTCATCTTCACTAATGCCAATTTTATCCGTGAGAGTGACTTGAGGCTCGTCAAATTCTACGGACATTATGTCGTTGCCGAGTATTACTCCAAGCGGAGCTGTGACTGGGATGTGTGCTTGAGATAATTCATGAAATGTTGTTATGACTGGCATTGATTGATGTTCATTCACGCCAGGAAGATTGGCTCCGTCATTCACTTCTGGCGCCACCGATGATGCAATCAAATCAATGGTTGGCTGCATAGAAATGCTCTTTGCGCGACTATCAATTGCTATTACTTTTCCGCACACACCTAGTGTGTAAGGTAAAGTATTGGAATCG